AATCACTACATTAAAACACTTGAAGTAGGTTTGGTTAAAAGTACAGACTTATAGCCATAGAAACACTTGGCAGGAACAAAATTAACAAATATTAAACAAAGACAGTGTATATAGTCTGATTAACTCTTTTGATAGTCGTTATTCATTGTTTTCTTCATTCATATTGTTGTCTATGAAAGTGTTAGTTTAAGTACATCAACCTGCAGAATTCAAATTTATCTCTGTGAAATTAAAAATTTAAAACAGTTAATTCAAAATAAGAGGTTAGTTTGCTAAAAATAGTTGCAAATTTAACAAAAAATAATCGCAATAAGTACTAAAACACAATCATTAACTATCGACACAACAAAATTAAGAAAATAATGATTTTCTGTTTTATCACAAAAATAGTTAAAAATAATAAATTAACTGTCTTCAGCGAGAGGGTTAATCTGTACCCTGTTCTCCTCCTCCTCTCCTGACACCACCTCATACTTAACGAGGGAGGCGTGGTCAGTCTCCTCCTTTGGCATATACTTGAGTCTCAACTTACGGAATATGAAATACCCAACTGCTCCTAGTGTTACTATTAATAGTATCCCTATGGCTCCACCCAACACTGCTACTATACTGATTACTGGATTAGAGCCGGATTCAGTAGGTGTGGCAGTGGGTGTGGTCGTTGATTGATCTGTAGTACCAGGTATTTGCCCTAAAATATGAAATAACTTGAATTAAGTACAGTTAGTGGCGGATCTAAGGGGGGCAATGCCCCCCTAAAATTTTTTTGGAGTAATGTAAACTTATATAAACTGTGAAGGAGCTGCAGTACTTGACTATGTAAACTATCTTTAAACCACAAAGAAGCTCATTTTAAGGATATTATCTCATACTTGAGTAACATGCATTGTGGCAGTCCTGTCTACTTGAGTCAATAAAGAGACAAGATCAAGGACATCAGTAAACACATGGAGGGTTGCATAGGACACTGTAATACTCTAGCTTTATATGACGGCATTCATAAGTAACATACTTGATGATGAGACACTGGTAGTTGCCAAACCACTTGTTGTTGATAACGTCACAGTTGCTATTATTTTTATACTTGTAGTTGATGATGGACTTTTTTGAGTGGGGGCTAATGAATTGGCTATAAATATTAATAAAATAATATTAATTAATAAATTTAATCATTAATAATTATTTACTTTGAGAAAACACAATTGGTTCACTCCAATCTCCAGGACCAACTTG